GGGTACTCGCTGTACTGCGTGTTGTACCTGTGTTTCGCAGTAATGGGTACTCGCTGTACTGCGCTGAGCTGATGGTGAACATGAAGGACGTGCCGAGCACGGAGCGCATGGTGCTGTGCAGCAAACAGTGGAAGATGATGACGCAGAAGGAGAAGGACATGTTCCAGAAACGCTGCGAGCAGGTGAGCGACGGCACCGCTCTGACCTCCGACCTCTGACCTCTCTCTAACCTCAACTTTGTCTCCACAGAAAAAGAAGCAGTATGACATCGACCTGCAGCGCTTCCTGGAGGTAAGACCTCAGAGCGCCTTGAAGAGCGAGAGGAAACGCCCACAGACAGGACAGCGATGGGCGGGGCTGTATTTACACTTTCACCTTCATGGTTGGAATTAACGGGATGGGGCGGGGTCTAACTGTGACAGTGCAGGCTGATTGGCTAACTAGCTAGCTTTTAAAACTACTTGTTTCATACAACAGATGGTCCTCAATTCAATTCACTTTTATTTATACAGCAGTCGCCTCGAGGCGCTTTAATTTGTACAGTAGATCGTACAATAATAAGGCACGTTGTGATTGGCTGTCATGATCCTGTCCACTGAGGCTCCAGAGCTGCTGCTTAAACTACAGGAAACAGGAAGTAACCTCTGCTTCTTTCTCAGAGTCTTCCAGAGGAGGAACGTGACAGAGTCATGACTGAGGAGAAAATGGGTGGGGCCAAATTGGGTGCAGGCGTGGCCTCAAGCCCCCACAGAGCCAAGTCTCCATCAGTCAAGGTGCGCCTGGCTCTTCTTTTACTGCCTGTTTATTGGGCGCTCAGTCTGAACGGTGATGTAACCAACCTGCCGAGCCGGCGCCATCTGCAACATCACCAGAAACTGTCTGAACACATTTGTGTTCTTTAAATAGGAGCGGTTTCGGGAGGCGGAGTCTGAGCCGTGGGTCCCTGCTGGACCGCCAAAAGAAAGACGGGACGGGAAAAAGACGGCAGCAGCAAAGCTTCCAGAGACGCCAAAGACGGCGGCGGAGATGTGGCAGCATAGCGTGATTGGCGACTACCTGGCTAAATACAGAGTAAGGAGCGCGTGCAGTAAATGGCAGGTAAAAACTCTCCGTACCGTCACTGAGTGTCATGTGACACAACCCACAGAGTGACCGCAGGAAGGCCCAGGCAGCGATGGACATGGCGTGGAACTCGATGGAGAAGAAGGAGAAGATTCTGTGGATCAAGAAGGCGGCAGAAGACCAGAAACGTTACGAGGTTCGGCGCTGATATCCGCCGCCAAACGGGAAGTTTTTTCTCCCCCTTTCTTTAGAGGAAAATGTATCCGAAGAAGAAACAAAGTAACGCACTGCTAACGTACCGCGTTAGAGAGGGGGCCATTTTGGGTGGGAGCGCGGGGGGTTCATGCTACTTTAGCTGTTAGCTCACGGTGTCTTCAATTCAATTCAGTTTTATTTATACAGCACCAAATGACAACAACAGTCCCCTCAGGGCGCTTCGGATTGGGTTGGCCCTACAATCAAAACCCAACAATCAGATGTTTGGTGTAATTACCGTGGGTTCCTCGCCACGGTAATTACACCCTCCTCCTCTCGTTGCCACTGGGACTACTGTTCCTCCTCCTGTACCTTCTAGCTCCCTGTCACTGGTTTCCAGTTGCAGTCAGTGCAGCTGCTAGCATGTCAACAACAGCTGCTTTTACATTCACATGACTCCTGTTTGGTTATGGCTCCACCCTCTTTGCTCCCCTAGTTAGTGCCCTTCTTTGTGTCTAGCTCCTCCCCCTGCTGTGTTTTGTTGTACTGACTAGAGATGGCACGATACCACTTTTTTATGTCCGATACCGATATACTTAAATTTGGATATCGGCCGATACCGATATGAATCCGATATAGTGTTTTTTAATATCTTGCTGCATTTTGTATAAGTTCATACTCAAGTTAAAAACAAACTAAACAACACTGAAGCTATTCTGTTACACTTGTATGCAAAAAATGCACTGCAGCCAAAACATTTCATAGTTCAGCAAAACTGATCAATCTAATAAACTTAAACCTGCAGCATCCTCCCTACTCTGGTGTTTTAAAGAGTAAGCAACTGCAGCAACAGTGCAAACTCCCAGAAAAAAATAAATAAAAAAAGGGAACCACCTCATGATGCTTAATCAACGTAATCAACTTTAATTTGATGCAGTGTGAAAAACAATGCACAGAAATAAATTATTTTTCAAGAATAATTAAATAGATTCAACATCTTTCTTCTACAGGGTTAGGGTTACAGCTGCAGACTGCACAGATGGAAAAAGTATTATAGCTTACTAGGGTATATTAGACTTAATAGTCACTATATACAGTAATGGACTTCTATACATTTTACATCAGATTAAAACTTTGGGTGTCAGATAATTATTTATTAAAAGCTCGACATTTTAAATGAGAATAAGAAAGAAAAGTATGTCTTTGTGCCCCCTTTTCCCTGTTAATGCCCTATCGGCCCCCCTGGCTAAACTTTGCTAGATCCGCCCCTGCACAGTTACGTCAGCTGTAGAAAAAGATCCTCGAGTAGAAAGTAATATTAAATAAATTCTAACAACGGCTGATCAAGCTTAAACCTGCTGCTGTTGTTCAGCCGCTGGTTTCCTCTTTCTGGTGCAAAGTGGGCCAAAAACAAACCAGAGAGACGATCAGCTGATCATTGATCAGTTTCATGATTGAAGTAGCAGCAGGAGAGAGGGGCAGTTGCTCCATATCGGTTGTTAAGCTTAACGCAGGAATGCTTTACAAACATTCAGAGATGGACTTGCACACTTGCTTTACTTCTCTCTGGGATCACTTCCTCAGAGATGAAATGCTGGTTTGGTAGCGAGGCTACAAATACACACAGCCGCTCTATCATGTGATGCACACTGCTCTGACGTGCTACAGTTATGAGCCGAGTTACTCCGTGTCGCAAGTTTTGTGAGGTGCTTTTGTGATATTTAATGGGTCGATTACATTTTCTATTTCTCTCCGATATCCGATCCAGTAATTTACGTCAGTATCTGACCGATACCGATACGTAATATCGGATCGGTCCATCTCTAGTACTGACTGTGGGTGTCCTGCAGAGGGAGCTGTTGGAGATGAGGACTCCAGCGGGGGGTCAGCGGAAGCCCAAGTTTGACGGCGAGCCGAAGAAGCCTCCAGTGTGAGTCTGTGCCCCCGATTCAAAAACCTTTATTGAAACATTGGCGGTCAGCTGCGTTGTCACGGTCGCCTCGCTCTGTGCACTGCTGTCTCTGTCCAATAGGAGCGGCTACCAGATGTTCTCCCAGGAGCTGCTGACCAATGGCGAGCTGAACCACTTCAGCCTGAAGGAGCGGATGGTGGAGATCGGGAAACGCTGGCAGAAGCTGAGCCAGAGCCAGAAGGACAAGTACAAGAAGCTGGTAGAGGAGCAGCAGGTGGAGTACAAGGCAGAGCTGGAGGCCTGGGTCAAGGTGAGGCACGATGACTCCGCCTCCGCTGACAAATGAATGAAATATTAGTAAAAGGTTTGTCGCCCCCTGCTGGTCGTTAACATGCCGTTTCCCTTCTCAGTCTCTGTCTCCTCAGGACCGCGCCGTCTACAAGGAGATCTCGTCTTCGGTGAGTCTCTCACGCCGCCTCACCTGTCCGTGCGTTACAGCGCTAACCTTTGTTTGTTTGTTTAGAAACGTCGCAGCACCGCCAAAGTTCGCAGCAGCCCCGCAGCTAAAGTCCGCGTGACTGCGAAGGGGAAGGCGGGAAGCTCAAGAGCTGTGACACCCGGAGTGGCGGTGAGCAAGAGGGCGATGGCGTACCGAGCCAAGGTAACGACAGCTACTTAGTCAGAAAGGCTGGGGGCTGGGCTAAATTTCACGTGGCGTTTGTGGTGGTGAACAGGGTCTGTCCATATCCCAGCAGGACATGTCTGACTCGGATGAGGAAGAGGAGAAGAGCGAGTCATCGGACTCTGACGAAGACGACGAGACGTCAGGAAGCACAGACAGCGATGACGATGAGGTCAGTCACGTGTTCATGGAGACACGAGTGAAGGCCGACTGACCACAGTGTTCATCACCAGTCCAGCAGAGACAATATCCTGTTTTATTTGAAAGTACATTTTTATATAAATATTGATAAATGACCTTGTGGGCGGGGCCCTTTTCATCCGTCCGTCCCTTCATGTGTTGCAGGATATAGAACTTCCTGTTTTGTGACCACTTCCTGTTCTTTCTCAGAACGACGATGAGGAAGACGAGGATGATGAAGACCAGAGCTCCTCTGAGGAATCCAGTGACTCCGACACAGACTAGCTCCACCCTTTCCTCCTCATTGGAGAGGACAGGCTGTGCAGGCCACACCTCCTCACAGACCAATCATCCTGGCAGACCAATGAGAGGATGTTATGCGGCACCGGCCCCTCCCGCCTTCTTCTGAAGAGGGCGGAGCCTTTTGTTACTCGTGTTTGTTTTTTATCGAGTGTGTGTTGGTTTTTAGCAGATGGGCGGAGCAAAGCTCAGGTGGGCTCTCAAGTGTCCTTTTCACAAAATGGTGAAGGCAGGGCAGGGGGCGGGGTTTGTACAGTTTGGCAGGTGGGGGCGCAATGAGCAGCAGTTCAGGGTTCAGCCGCCCACCTCAAATTATTAATAAATGCACTTTTTTCTCATCTCTGGTGTCGTTTTGTCATGTGACCACATGATGACCTTTGACCCCGTCAGTCAGTGAGGACACAGTTTGCGTTCATCTCAGCTTTAATAGATTTATAGAATATAAACAAACATCTGTCCATCACCTCACACACAAATAAATAATCTGACCTTTGACCCAAACACTAAGCACTGTCCTTCAGACCTTTGGCACACTACAGTTCCCATCATCCCCTGCTCTGTGACCCCCACCCCCCACTTATAAAACAGTCCCACACATGCATCGCTGTTGCCATAGTTGCCACACCTTATAAAAGGGACTGCCCTCCCCATCCAGGAAAAAAAACGAGTGAGATCCGCAGGGCGACCAATGAGGTCTCAGAACAACAGTCCCATTGTCCTCAGTGCTGATAGTCACATGATCACAGATGCCCCCCCAGGTGAGACGCGCCTGTGTTAGAGACTGCCCAGAAAACAGCAGCATCCTGTCAGCTGATCAATAATCGATCTGATGGTGTTCGTATTGATTAACTGACCTGTTTATTGATAAGGAATCAGTTCTTAAACGCTATGAAAAATGAACAGTTGGTTGGAACTCCTTGTGCAGCTCCAACGGGACGTCACCAGGTAACCACGACCTCTGACATCAGACAGGACACACGCTCTGTCAGGACGTCATAGCGTGACGTCCAGCAGCTTCTTGTGCAGGTACTGCTTCACCTCCTCGATGCCATTCAGCTTCTCCAGCTCGTGGTACGGCAGCTGAAGAGACAGGAAACAGCACGTCACATGACCATGATGGGAGGAGCTTACGGAACAAGCGTTAAACCCTATCACATTTACAAAAACAGACGTTTTATCTCAGAGGAAACCAGAAGTTTAAACCAACCAATCACAGCAGCTCAAACTATCTGGCCTGATGTTATTTGGCGGCAGTGGGCAGGGCCAAATGAAGTTTCTGAAGTTTAATGGCGTTAGCCAGCTAGATGAGCCCGCTTTGACTGAGGGATTGATGGCGTCCAAACGGTCAGCTGGTCTGTCTCTTTGGACACGAGTGAGCCGTGAGGTTTGCGTGGTTACTGAAGCTGGACCAGCTGCTACGTGCTGGTTAGCTGCAGAGCTATAGGTAACGCCCCCATCTAAACAAAACGACGACACAAAGGCCGAGCTGCAGCTTTATTTACATAAAGTCGTTCACAATGAATCCTTCAGTCATTTTTGTTTTAAACAGCTGTTTGTAACGTTTGTCACCGCGCTGCTTCACTCGTCTGCAGCACGTCTTCAAACGAGCAACAAGTTAAACAAACGTGAATTTGAAATCCAGAAACTTGTGAACAGAGATGGAAAATATATCATTTAGTTTAATACTGTTCAGTCTTATTGGCTGCGGCGGGGCGTGGTCAGCGGCGCGGCTGAGGCGGACACACCTGAGCAGCATCCCCACTCACGCTTCGCCGGCTTAAAACAGAATAAACTGGGTCCTGTGGTTGATGTGTTTAGGCTGCAGCCGCGCGCAAATCGACAGCTGCAATAAAGAAGCGTACTGAAGACGTGGCAGGTCTGTCGTGGGTCGTTTACAGTGGTGCCCAAACGCACGACTGGGGCACAACAGACCCGCCCACATGTTTTCTTCTTTATTGCAGCAGTTGACTCACGCGGTTGTTTATCAGGACTTTGGTTCGGGGAAGCCATGGGGGACTGTCATCAGGTAAAGTGGACAGAATCACAGCACACCGTGATACTGTGTGTGGTGACGTATCCACACTGAGTCACGGGCAAATGCAAACAGCCTGATGGCAGGCAGCCGCTCTGTGCACAGTCTCAGAGACTTATCGAACGTTTGCAGATCATTTCTGATTATAAACCATCGCAGCGCAAACTTGTCCGCGTTATTTCCCACAGAGCAGCAAGCCAACTAAGACAAGACACAGCTTCATTAGTCCCACACGTGAGAAACCTTTTGGTCAAGAGCAGCAAAAACTGGACTACATATAATCAGACCCACGGCAGACCGATATCAGACTGACAGGCTAATCTCAGACAGACTGACAGCAGACCGGCGGCGGGCTTCAGTGACGGCGTTGGTATGTTTGATCGATCATTCTGGAGCCAAACACTGCTGTGACAGAACTTCGTGTGTCCGGATAAAACAGGCACTGATACTTCAGCTCTGATCTCCTTCAGTCAGCAGTTGAAAGGTGCTAAATGTGGCTAATCAACAGTCAGTGGACAATAGCATTAACGTCGTCAGGTGTTGGAGCCTATATCTTTTCTCTCTGTAATTGTTTCTTTAACATCACTGCTTGATGGCAAAACCGACTCACCTGCAGGATGACATATCCCAGCAACCTCAGGTGGCGGTCTCTCATGGCACGGGAGCCCACCAGGACCTCAGAGTTGTGGCAGTAGTGCCACTTATCATTGACGGACATGATGACCCTGCAGAGAGCACAGCAGGGTGGCGTTAGTGGCGGCAGGCGCTACTAATTCTGCACAGGCTTGGAGTTTGACTTACCTCCGGATCTGCCTCTGGTCTGCGGGGAGGCCGTCGGGGTCTGGCTGCTCAGGGGGGTGGAGCGGCGGTGGCGACAGGGGCGGTCTGTCAGCCCCCTCGGCGTACGTCACTCCTTTGTAGAATCCCCCAAGCTCGTGGTCCGGCCTCGGGGCTCCCGTGCCACCCTCGTCTTCCAGGATCTTCCCAATGGAAAACTGGAACAGAGAGTCCGGGGCACTGGCCCCCGCGGGCGGCTGGGTGGTGGGCGGAGCCAGGCCGTCCGAGGGCGGGCTGCTGAGGGTGGAGCTATCCTGACTCTCCAGCGAGTGCTCTTTGGCCAGGCTTGAGTAGTACTCCCCCGCCGGGACGTAGTACGGCCCGTAGTTCACCGTGCTGCCATTGGTCCCCGCCTGTGGGTGGCCCGGGTGGGGCGCGGTGCCCGGCGTGCCGCGGATGTGATGGGGCAGGAAGGCCCGCGGCTCCATTGCCCCGACCATCCCCTCACCAACCTGACACGAGTGCTCGGCGCCCTCCTCCATCGCCACGAACGGAGAGAACTTCTGGAAGTCAGAGGTAACTGCGGCAACCGCTGCATCAGCAGGCTTAGACGCCACAACAACACAGGACGGAGGAACGACAGTCAGAGAGAGGCCGGCTCCAGTGCGGATGGGAAGAACCCGCCCGGAAGTGTCCATCCACAACAGGAAGTCTGGAGAGAAGAGTAATCACATTACAGGTAGCAACACAACAGTAACATGCAGGGGCAGCTGACAGCTCCGCCCCTCTGTGACCCAGCTCCTAACACACACACACACGCGCGTTTGACCTTTGAACTACGTACGCATGTGAAGGCTGCTTGTCCAAAATGTAACTTTCTGTTTAAGCAACAGGAAGCAGACCACAGCTGAAGGTCAGCGGCGTCTAATGAAACATTTTAACTTTTGCCAACAGCATCAGAAATACGGGAGGAGCATCTCAGTAACTTTGAAAGGAAGTAGCTCTGTAATTGGCTGTTCAAGCAGAACACATGTGGGTGGAGCATGAGTGAAGCCATGCCGAACCAAACCAACCAGCCAAACACTGCACGATGATCGCCATGTTTTTCAGCTGAGCCAGCCCCCCCATATGTTTTAAAATCGTTGGAGCTCCAAATATCCAGGTGAGAGGTTGTGTGCGCAGGTGTGTCCCACCTGTGTAGTATCCCGGGGGGAGGACCTCATCCTGTTTGTAGTTATGTTCTCCAACCAGCTGCCGCAGAGCCTCAGCCACCAGACCTTTATAACTGACAGAGAACAGACCAATCAGAGCTCAGCTGCTGTCTGGTATTCTGGTCGCTTTGGTGTTGAGCACACCTGTCGGTGCTTTCTAATCCTGATGAGTTTGAGCTGAACTGACCTCGGCCTGGTGAGGTGGACGCTAACAGACTCTGTTTACACCAACCAAGAGGGTCAGTGTGCAGGTGTTACCTGTACTTGCGGTTGACCTCGTCAGCTGTGAGGGCGTGGTCAAACATCAGAACCTTGTGTGCGTCCTGCAGTCGCGGCCCTGTGTAGTCGCGGTACTCCAGCTCGACAGCGGCGTCCAACAGAGACAAGTATCGCCTGACGATGAGAGCATAGGGGCTGTCTGCGGGGAAAGCAGCACACTGGTCACACTGGCTAACCTGGTACTGGTAATCAGTCAATGGCTAGAACAGGATCAATATTATGAGTCGCAAACCAGTCACAGTGGACGGTGTAACCAGTCGATAGGGAATCGACCAGTAGTCCAGGTCCTTGGACTCATTAGTCCGCCTGCCTATTGGTTCTTGCACTCTCACTACAATCAGCTGATTTTAGATAGATATAATTTTTTATTTCGAACATGCAAATATAATTGAAATAACAACAGAAAAAACAAAACTTAAAAATCATCAAGTTTTCATGTATACAGCATGCTAACGCTAAGCTAGTCGGACAGCATGCTAACGCTAAGCTAGTCGGACAGCATGCTAACGCTAAGCTAGTCGGACAGCATGCTAACTCAGAGTGACGTTAAAGCTGAGTGTATGCATACTCCATCCCAGCAGCCAGAGCCTGAACTTCAGCAGTCAGGCTGCAGCCTTTACCTGTTCATGTTTCTACAGTAGAATCACCATGACAACCGTTTTAAAGCCTCTTTTTGTGCGGGTGTCCTCAGCAGGATAGAGTTTGTGTTGTTTGTGTAGCCTCAGGTTTACGTAGTTAAATAAGGATGATGATGGTGTGTTTCAGATCATTTTACAGAGAAACATCAAAGTAACGTAACGAGTAGGATAACGAACGCCGTTATCCTGGAACTAACTAAGTAACATGCTGCATTACTTTTAGGAAAAGTGTTATCTGAGTAATAACTTTTTAAATATTCCCATCCCGACCGGTCAGTTGGAAAGTTGGGTTCATGTTGGCCGTACTCACTGGTGACGTTGCTGATAAAGGCGGAGGAGAAGACCCGGTGGAGGACCAGGCCGGGGAAATGTCCGAGCTGGAACAGAGACATGAGGATGTT